ATGGATCATCATCACATGAGCATAACTTTTTAAGCAATTTTTTGAACCCTTTGGAGTCTTGCACTCCAGGTATTTTTGTAGGGAGCTACTAAAATCCTACACTAATATAAGAGATTATAATTCCCTGTTCCAAAAAAAGGAAAGGGATTATTTTAACTGATCAAAAGGACTGAAAGTTCCACCAAGACAGTTAAGAGGTAAATATTGATGAATGTCACATGCAGACTAAAGCCAGCCTTCGTGGAAGTGGAGATGAAGAGCCCTCAGAGAGGAAAAGATTTGTGGTGTACCAGTGAGGCTAGACTTTATGCACAGCACAAAAGCTGTAGTACTTCTGCATCCAAGAGACCAAAAGACCATGTTCATGAGAATATGGGTATTGGAGAAACATAAGTGTCTTGCAACAAACAGATATTACCAATGCATTGAAGCTCTTTTGAGGCCCAGGGATCCTTGCATGACTCAGAAGAGAGCTCTAGGCATGACTGAGTTGAAATTTCCTGCATGCTAGCTGCAGAGGTCCTCAGAGGCAGACTGGAGTAAAATGTTGTGATACTTCTGGCACCTCTGGCTTTGGGGACTAAAGAGCCATGATATCCATGCTTGCTTCTCCATCTCTGCAAAATAATTTAGACAGGATGATACCACAGTTTTAAGAGACACAAAGACAAATAAGGCAGAATTTCTTTATTTATAGTTTATTGACAAATGTATGCTATTTAAAAATTACATGTGCCAAGTGCTCAATGAAATCTGAAGATTCCTTTCTCAGTTTTGTAATTGACAATATAGCACTTAAAATTCTCCAGAGAACCAGATTTAGGAAATAGTCAGATGGATAAAGATTTATTGGAAAGAATCAGATTACATGATCATGGAGTCTATTAGGTAAATCTTAAATCTGTAGAGTAGCTGGTCAGCTGGAATCTCTCAGGCTGGAGTTCATAATGCAGACAAGGCAGAGTTTCTTCTTCTTCCAGAAGACCTCATTTTTACTTTGAAGAATCTTCAACTGATTATATGTGAGGTTCACCTTTATTATTAAAGATGATTTCCTTTACCTAAATTCATCTTATTGATGTGAAACACACCTGCAAAATAATCACACAGCAACACCTACCTGGCTTCCTACTGATTTGTCATAGAGCTTAACCAAGTTGATGCATAATTCGAACTCTCCCACAACAATGGGGAGACTTGACCTGCACCTTGAAGGATGATTAGAAGTTCATCAAATAGAGGAGAAGAAAGGACATGGTGTGCATGAGGCAGAGTTTGAGATATTTAGGGAGCTAGAACTAAGGAGAAAAGGTGGAGATGGACTGTGAGAAAGCAGAGACAGGTGCACCTGTGACTCAGGGTGATGGAAACTCCCAGAAGCTTTAGCTCCTAAGTAACTTGATGATGTGCAAGTTCTGGAGAGACAAGTTTGGAGACTGTGTGATGGTAATAGTTTTGGAAGACTTAGAGAACTGGTGGTGGTCTGAACCCAAACACTAGTGGTGAGGACAGAGAAGAGCACTGCCTTAGGAAAAAGAGATGCAGACTTCACAGATCACAGTGACTCTCCAAGTCAGTCACTGTGCATTTATTGCTCTTTCCTTCTCTGCTTAGGTGAAATGTCAACATTTTTTTCAACACTATTCTCTGGTTAGCCACTACATATGAAAAGAATCCCTGCTCATGTCTAGTGGGGGAGGCAATAGATGTAAGGACATTATGACCATGATCTTAAAGAGAACATTGGATCCAACGCACAAGCACATCATAGCTCAAACCATTATACTTGTGAGCACACACACACACACACACACATACACACACACCTGTGAACCCACACACAATCATTCACCGCCAAACTAATTGCCTCACATTTTAATCTTACCCCAAAACTTGAGCAGTTGGAGACCTAGAAATAGCTCTTAAGATTCTAGCTTTTGAAGCCAAATCTAGGAACCAAGCCCAGATATATCTCTACACAAAACTAAAATGGAAGAGTATAGCATAAAGTGTGTGAGATAGTAGGTTGAAAAAGACATTAAATCCCGGTTTTATTTCCACAACAATTCCTAGAGCCTTAGCTAGGCAGAGAATGAAAATCACCTTTGATCAAAGGTTGATGGAATTTATCTTTTTCCCAGTGTTTTTGTAACAAAAATCACTTACAATAACTTGTTTCAGGATTGATAAGAGTCTCTGAATCTAAAATCCATGAAGCTCCCTCAAAGTCTGCCTTGTGTCTACTGAGTCCCAATAATTCTACTCTGGTAGATAAACTTGAGGCTTAACACTTGAGGTGATCATGGGCATGTCTGTCCCACTAACTCCTCTTTCTCCCTGAGCACACCAGGATTGTCCCAAGCTTTCTGAGATTTTTTATTATTATTTCTAATTTCAGAAAAGAAAGCCAATTAATCAATGTATGGCTTCTTGGAATTACTTTATTCAGAACATCTTGTGCTGGGCATGTATGCCAATTTCTGAAGTATGGCAGGAAAGATCCACAAATGCATAAGAAACAGGGTCTTGCCCTCCAGGAGCTCAAAAGAGATACAGAGTTGATCAATTTGACATAATCTTAGCCTGGAATTAAGACACAAGTAAATATCAGGGTGTGGTCTTGAGTAAATCTTTTGAGTGTAATATTCCAGGACTAGCATTACACACCAAGCAGCTGGTGAAAAGTGGTCTTGAGAGTAGCTTAGAAGTGGAAGAAGGTATTCTGGCAATGGTATTACTAAAACTCCAGAAACCAAGTGATAGAGTCTGCTGAGGAACTATCTCCTTGCTATTTCCAATTCTAGGCCAGTGGTAGGGGGAAAGGATTGGAGACTGGTGCCTCTTAGTTTCATCTGAGGCACTGGGTGATGAACCTCTGGGCTATCAGACATTCTCTTCCCCTTAACTTTTTTGATTTCTTCCTTGACCTGTTCTTTAAACTTATCTGTGAAAAAATAAAGAGGAAGATAAGGAGCAGAACAGTAGAAAAACATCCTGATGTGGGAAATGAAAAAATAAACAAGTGAGAAGTACACCAGTGCTGCCTCAAATTGCTCACTTTGTGGTCCACCTAGAAAAGATTATTTGTAAGACACCTTTGGATGTCTAGCTGAGGCTCACCCAGCTGCTCTGGGGATGGGCCTGTGTCATCATGCTCATACACCTATAACCTATACCAACTGGGAAGCTATGGAGAGATAGTGTCAACCAGCTGAGACAACAAGGGAGAAGCTGTGTTCAGAAGAAAATAGGAAACAAAAGGCAGGGAGACTACCTTGGACAAGCAAGACCAAGGTAAACTTCCTGAAAACAGAGTCCAGAGAGAGGGAGTAATCTCAGAAGTTCATCAAAATTGTGCCTTATAGTCACACCCAAAGGATCTCTTCTGATTTACAGTTCCTAACAGGAAATGTTGGGAATAAGTAAGGATGCAGAAGCAGTGCTTGGGAGTGAGGACAGGAGAAACAAAAGCACCTTGTATTTCATGTCCTCTGTCTGTCACATCACTCCAGACAGCAGTCCTCTAGGTTTAGGAAATAGAATGGGGAAGAAACTGAGTGTTGACTTTTCAGATTTGACTCATCCCTGCTACCTACCTTCCTTCCTTCCCAGGCATTGCTGAGTTCAGGAAGGTCTCCAACTTGCAAGGACCTGTCATGGCTTCTACAGGAGAGAACACTGGAATGTCAAGATGTCTCCTCAGTATTAGGAGTCCTCCTGGAACAAGGTTCAGTCGCCCAGCTTCACAGACCTGGGATTTTGAAAAGCTTTGGAGTGGTGACACCTCAGGTCTGGGATCCTTCCTAGCTATTTAGATAAGTTTTAGAGTGTTTTCAGATCCTTTGTCCACTCCTTCCAGCCTACACATATATACCAGGCATGACTCTTGTGCTCTTCCTACTCGACCCCATGGACTGGTCTGAAAAGGACACTGATAACTTATATTAGGAGTCAAAAGAATGCTGGCAGCTTGAGGAATGTCTTTCCACAAAGAAAAGATCAGTTAACAGGAGCTAGACTTTTATCTCAGGAGTGAATCTTTCAGGGTAGGACATTAGACATCTGGGACAGGGCAACATCTGGGATGAGGGGTAGATTCTTGGCAAAGGAGGAACTTTCCTATCTGCAAGAAACCCCACCCAAAGCAGTCCTTAATGATCTTTCTTCCATGGTGCTCAGAGTACTACAAGAAATTAGGATGCCAATAAGGCACAAAAATGACAGCATGATCTGAACAGGCCTGGGCTTGGCCACTCAGAAGTCCATTCTTCTGGAGAGTCCTGCACGTAGGAACGACATAGGAGAAGTGGATGTTCTGCAGGCCAACTGCCAGAACAAAGTGAGAACCCTGCCTGGCTACCCAACGGAAGCAACTGCCACTGGGAGCGTTGGGGGAGGGGAGGCAGCCTAGAAGGGTCCTCTTCCTTACTCACTATCCTGTACTCCTGGGGAGAGGCAGCAGCTCTGGGACCTGGAGAAAGAGGGGATCCTTATGTTCCTCAACTCTACTAGAAGGAACAAGGGTTCAAAAAGAACACCAAATAGTTTGGGGGCTTGGAAGCTTGCAGCAATACATTTCCCTACAAAGAAATAGTGTAGACCTACCAATCTATACAGTTATACAGGTACAATGTAAAGGGTGACTGCGGTTGATCAGAAGCAAATTTGCTAGAAAGGAATGGGTGTGGCAGTGGACATAGCAATAGTAGACTCTGAAGCCCTGCCAAGGTGGCACCAAATCTCTGACCTCGAGACCAGAGGAAGCTGAAAAGAGGCCACAGGACAGAGGGAATGCGGCAGAAGCAAGAGCAGCAAGAATGTCTGGGATTTTTCCGTGAAATCGTGCCCCACCATCTATCCAGACCATCTCCAACCTTTCTGTACCTCCGTTTTTCAATGAAAGAAAAATTGAGATGAATACACATGAGGAAAGGAGAGCCCCCAAAGCCAAAGTTGTCCTGAGGGAAGGGAAGGGATAGAGAAAATTATAAAGTATAGAAAGGCCGACAGAATACAACCTGTGGCAAGACAGGGGAAAGGAGGCTAAAAGGGAGGGGAAATGATGGGAAGCATAGAAGAGGAGAGGCACGTGAGGGAAGAAAAGGGAGCAGAGAGTGGTAGAGATCTGGGGGAAGTCAGATCAGAAGTAGCAGCTGGTTAGACTGACAAGTGCCAATGGGCCCTATTCCAGGTCATGGATGAGGAGAGAAAGCAGAGGCAGGGAACATGAGAGGCCGGCACAGGCAGGAAAGAAGTAGAATAGAAAGCCCAGAATGCCTTTTTCTCTTTGTATTCTCATCCTCCTTCCCTCAGCTCTCCCAGAAGCCCCAGCCCTGGAAACAAGGGACGGAAGGGACCCTGGTAATACAGAGTGGTAAGATGAGGACTGGGCATACTTTCCAAAAACAATTTATAGCTTAACAGCAATCAGTTCAGTGGCCAGGAAACATTCCTCTAATGGTGGAGAGTCAAGCATCCATTATGGAGCCAGGCGAGGGTTGGCAGTTTGGGGGCCTTCTTGAACTCCTCCAACTTTAGCCTAGTTCAGCCTTCCTCCTAGGAAGTCCAGGGGAATGAACGTGAGTTGGGGGTGGTGTGCATGCTCAGAAGTGACTCCCAAGGGGGAAGAGGAAGGCTGCCTGCAGAATTGTGGGTTAAGACACAGCAGGGCATAGGCAGCAGATGGGGGTACAAAGCACATTCTACTTCCCCAAAAGTATCTGCTTGGGAAACCCCAGTGGGAACAACTACCCCTCTTTCTTTCCTTGATACTCCAGGGGGTTATGTCTCCTGGGCCCAGAGAATCCCTGGTGCTCCCCCCCCTCCGGCCAGCACTGTTGCCTCAATGCCCAATGCTCTGAGTGGGGACAGAGACATGGCCAGGAATAGAGACTGAAATCAGATGTCTGGGGCAAGTGGTATAGTCTGACAGAAGATGATCTGTGAGTACCAGCATCGCTCAGTGATCACCAACCAAGCAGAAGGAGTTGGATCTAGGGCTTCTCTTTGGGCAGAACATCTTGGGCATCTAATTCAGCATTGCTGCTGGAGCATGCTCACAAGTGTGGAGAACCAGCAGGAAAGGATTTTGTGGGGAAGTCTCTTCAGAAGACTATTCCAGCCAAACAACTTCTCAGAAGTCCAACTGTCAGAAATCTTGGCAGCCATAGCCTCCTGGCCAGGGTGTCTCTCACTTCCCTTTTGATTTCCCTGTTGCCACTCTCCTCTGATATTTGTTCAGAATTCACCCCCGCCCCATAAGCTCATGGCTTTATCAAATATTTGTTGAGCTTTTCTGGGCAGTGGTGATACAAAGATGAAGGAGACAAAGTTCCTGCCTTCAAGGAACTTCCTCCACCGTGAAAAAGGGCAGACTGACATGCTGAGAAATATGAGGCTGATGGCTCAGATATACATACCCCATAGTTCTCATGCTCACAGAAAACTACAATTACTGAGAGAATCTCAACAATTAAAAACCCTCCATAAGTGTCCTAGCAATCAGGAAATACTGAATTTTCCCTGAAAAATTCACAGGAAGTTGGAAACTTTATTCTTTGTCCACTCCAGATATTCATAGTCTAAAAGAAGAGCACGCTCCTATTATCAAGGTCCTGACCACCTTGAGCAGAACTGATATTGAGGAAAAGGAAACTACTCAGGTTGTTTGAGTCCATGGAACTGAACTTCAAGATAGTCATTGGAAATGTCCACAAGTGCTGGGATCCCTAGGTTTGTGAGGGGTTCTGAGGATGGCCTGTGAGCTTATCAGAGACAAAGGTTAGAATTCCAAAGACCAGCACAAGAATCAGGGAGAGGGGAGCAGGAAAGCTCCCAATATTGAGGCTTTGGGGGTGTCAGTCTCACAGGGGCTGGAACTGTGTCTGGAAGCTGCCTCCTTGGTATCCCCAGTTAAAGGGCAAAGGAAAGAGGCCAGAGGTTGGTCCCAAGAAGATGGCAACATCCCAAATGATGGTCAGTGGGGATTCTTGGGGAGCTTAAAGAGGAGCAGGATGGTAGGGTATGACATTGGAATGTCACCAAGACGGTGATTTCTCACAATCCAATGGTGTGGGGAGGAGGGAGGAAGTGCTTCAGTGGAGAACAGCAAGGTAAGGACCTGCCCCTTCTCTGTTGGTTCTGCACTGGCTCATCCTGATTAGGCTGAGAAATAGGTCCAAACAGAGGGTTATTTGATGAATCTCAAATATCCACAGACTGAAGACTTTGGAGTGACAGAGTTGGAGAAGAAAAAGAAAATAAGAATTTTGAGATCATACCTACAGAAAGAGAGAGAAGGGCAGAGAACACTGCAAGACCAAAAAATTGTGATGAAAAAAAAAATCATCATGTACCCAAGAGGAGATGGGAGAGGAGAAAGAGAAAAGAGCATCCAGGGAGGGACCAGAGTCAGAGTAATGTTAAGACAAGGAGAGAAGTGCAGAATGAGTACTTGGGCTACACCCAAACACTATTGTTTGAATAGATTGGTTGCCTAAGGTGGAGGCATCAGCCTGCGGGAGACTGGGTGGCGGCATGGACCACATGGCAGGTCTGGCAAGAGAAGTTTTCCTCCTGGGAATGGGAACACAGGAATGGTTGGGATGCAGAGCTGTGACCTAGTATTTCCCCACTGCTTCTATTCTTAGGACATGCCTCTTTGGCAATATAGATGAAGAAAAAAGGGGGAGGCCACAGCGGTTATATTTGAGCCTTCTGATGAGGCTCAAAGGAATGCTGTCTTACCCCAGGACAATCAGTCTGAGAAGGAAGTAACACTTCCTCTTGACCCAGGTACTACATGGAGTAAGCATGGTGGTGTATGCACAGGAAGGGCCAGGAGTCCCTGCCAAGCTGCTCTTGAGATCCTGGTCAGTTCCAGACTATGTGAGCCTGCCTGCCCTTCACCTTACCCCCAACACTCCACAGGGAGGAGGGTCTAGGGGGCCCTTCTACTGAAGTTCCTCAGCTCCTCTCTTCAGAGAGCTCTCTCTCTTTCTCTTTTTGTTTTTTAATACAGAGCTGTGAGAATTGAAGCTGTAAGATGTTAGTGACTGGGAACAGGCACTAACAGAAGATATTTAAGCACTTGGAAAAGGACAAATTCATAATCCAGTTCAACAAGCGAACAGCATCCTAGATCAGAGATCCAGAATTCTTCTTCAGCCAGGTTCCCAAGGTGGTTTTCTCTGGATCAGCTGCTTTGACTATTTGACCCATAGGAGGGAGACATGCCACTTTGTGCTCTCTAGTTTCTGTTGCCTTGGAATAGAGGCCCCCTGGCTTTGAACTCAAGAGAAGGTGCCCAGAACTTGCATCTAATGTCACAAATGAGTATGTGGCACAAACAAAAAGCCTTGTTACTTATCTGATGTCTTTTTCTTTTCTCATTCCACAGCACTCCATAGCCATTAACTTGAACTTGGTTAGGGGGGATATAATAGTGAGTGCCCTCAAATTTCTTACCTTATCCCAGGGAAAGTCATGGTCGTAATAACGTGGAAAATGGTGATGGTCATAAATATTTACTGGGGCCTTTGTTAGTCCTCAGATATCAAGACTCATATCTTTTCTCCCATATTGCACCTCACGGAGGACTACAAACACTTGCAAAAGTAAAGATAGCCAAAATGTTACTAGAAATCCATTTAGGAAATATTTGAGAGAAGGCAAGAAATGAGCAAGGCCTCTTCCTATTAAGACCTCATAGTCTTAAAGGAGTTGCTAATTTGAGTGTCTTCTTTTACTATACCAGTAATGTAGGGACCAAGAAAAATCTTTGGGACTGCATGTTCAATGTGGAATGTATCCCAAAATACAAACGACCCCAAGGGTGTAAAAGAGTTCTGAGGATGTCATGTGGGACAAGAGCTAAACGCTTCCTGAGACCAGCCTGGGAAATCGGGATGGAGCAGGGAAGACCTCAAGGTTGAAGCTTTGGGGGTGTCAGTGCCTAGTGGGGCTGGGACTGTGTCTGGAAACTGCCTCCTTGGTATCCCCAGTTGAAGGGCAGAGGACCAAGGGCTTGGTCCCAAGAAAGTGGTGACATCCTAGATGATGATCATTGAGGACACTACGAGACTGTCATGGAGGAGCAGGAAGTGGGGGGTGTAAAGCTGGAATGTCACCATTCCAGGATGGTGCTTCTTTGAGATCAGAAATAACTGAGAAATGATTCAATGGTAGTTTTTATGCTGTGTATATTTTAGTACAATATTTTTTTTTAAAAAAAGAAAATATTGATCTCAAGGAGGAAGAAGAAAGGATATCCTTTCTTCAGCTTGGAGGGTGGATAGCAGTCAGCTGGGGCCTATG